GGTGAGTGTGCTCTTAGCACGGACGTCCTTGAGGACACGCAGGAGGAGTTCTAGTGTTTTGCTGCTGCTTTGCCTCATCTCGTGTCCACGCTGATTGCCCCTGTGGGAGACCCGGATGCACCAGACATCCCGACTCCTCGATCGTACGCTGAGGCGATCGAGCGTCCCTACTCCTCTCAGTGGCAGTCAGCCATGGACGCAGAGATGGCTTTCTAGAAGTCCACAGGCACCTACGTCGACGAGGTTCCCCCACCTTGGGCGAACATCGTCAGTGGCATGTGGATTTTCAGGGTGAAGCGGGCGCCGGGTTCTCCGCCTGTCTTCAAGACGCGTTACGTGGCTCGAGGCTTCAGTCAGCGGCAGGGAGTTGACTACTTTCAGACCTTCTCTCCCACCCCGAAGATGACCACTCTTCGGGTGCTGCTGCACATAGCCGCTCAGCGCGACTACGAGCTTCACTCTCTTGACTTCAGCACAGCTTTCCTGCAGGGCAGCCTGCACGAGGAGATCTGGCTGCGCCGCCCACCTGGCTTACTGGGTCGTTTCCCCCTGGTACCCAGTGAAGCCTCCGGCGGCCAGTCTACGGTCTCCGCCAGGCGCCCCGTGAGTGGCACGACACACTGAGGACTACACTTGCGGCTCTTGGGTTTGCTCCTTCTACTGCCGACCCGTCGTTGTTTCTGCGCACCAACAACTCTTTGCCGCCGTTCTACATCCTCGTGTACGTCGACGACTTGGTCTTTGCCACTGCTGACACTGCTGGACTCGCCCACGTGAAGTCCGAGCTGCAGAAGAGACACACGTGCACAGACCTGGGTGAACTGCGCAGCTACCTTGACTTGCAGATCACCCGGGACAGAGCACAGCGCACCATTACCCTGACTCAGTCACACATGGTGCAGCAGGTTCTTCAGCGCTTCGACTTCACGTACTCCTCGCCTCGGGCCACTCCTCTGTCTACTCGCCACTCGCTCTCAGCTCTGCCTTCGGATGAGTCCGTAGAGCCGAGTGGCCCGTACCCAGAGCTTGTTGGCTGCCTCATGTACCTGATGACCTGCATACGACCTGACCTTGCATACCCTCTTAGCACCTGTGCACGCTATGTTGCTCCTGGGAGACACCGACTAGAGCACATGGCTATAGCGAAGAGGGTGTTGCGCTACTTGTGCAGTACGTCGGGCATGGGGCTAGTGCTTGGAGGACGACGTTCAGTGGTCCTCACAGGTCACGCCGAGGCTTCTTGGGCTGACGACCAAGCTACGCAGCGGTCGTCACAGGGTTACACCTTCAACCTTGGTTCCGGCTCTATTTCGTGGCGATCTACCCGCTCGTCTTCTGTTCTCGGCTCCAGCTGTGAGGCTGAGATTTACGCGGGGGCCATGGTCGCACAGGAGCTACGTTGGCTCACCTACGTGCTGAGTGACCTAGGAGAGCCGCCTCGTTCTTCTCAAGTTCTGTACGTAGACAACAAGGCCATGCTGGCCTTGTGTCGGGAGCACAGACTGGAGCACAGAACGAAGCACATTGCTCTTCGCTACTTCCTTGCTCGTGAGCTGTAGCAGCGTGGTCAGCTGCGCCTTGCTTACGTGGCCTCTGAGGCCAACACAGCTGATATCTTTACCAAGGCACTTCCGCCTTGTGATCATCAGCGTTTCTGTACGATGCTAGGTCTTGTGCCTACTTGGCCTCACTTGCTCACTTCTTGACCTTGCTTGTACTGTGATCTTTCTATACCTGCACTTGCTTGTTTACCTTTATATTTGATCTTGCATGTGAATTGGCCTGTTGGCCTTGCTCTTGTGCTCGGAATGTGTGGTGACGTTGTGATCCACCCTGAGCTTGCTTTGTTTTGCTTGGTTGGTCTTGTGACCTCTTGTTCTCCCCCACTTTGCCTATGGGGGTGTGTCTAACTCATATGCGATAGTCTGTGTAGAGTGTAGTGGGGTAGAGAATATGGGGTACAACACTTTTAGGTTTTCCTACTTGTACCCCCCTGCTTGCTAGTTCATTCATTCCTCATTTCTTCACATCACCAGGCCTGCCTTGTTGAGGTCATGTATGATTGAGTTGCATGTGGCTCGTGCCGCTGCTTCCGTGTCACAAAGGAAAAGAATGTCGTCCACATAACGAATGACCCGTATGCCCATGGCTCGCCAGCGCCGGGCAAGTTGTTTGATCAGTTGTGTGAAAACGAACGGGGCTGTCGCGAGGCCGAAAGGGAGCGAGCGGAATATGTATGTCTTTCCGTCGAATCGAAACCCCATGTACTTCCAGCATGATGGGTGAATATCCACGTAGTGATACCCAGACTTCAGGGCGATAGAGAACATCCAATCGCCCGGGCGAGCGATCTGTGCAACTCGGTTGAGCCCCTCGTATTTGAATTTTGGAATGCGCAAGTGCAGGTTCACTTGGCGGAGGTCGAGGATCAGTCAGCATTTCTCTCTCTGGACCACCACGTTTAGTGGGCTAATGCATACAGCCTGATCCGCGGGGGCGAGAGCCGCTGCGCCGCTTTCCAGGAGCTCGCAGATAGCCTGTTTGGTGAACTGGGCGTGGATCTGTGCGCCCGCATGGTTGTCCCGCTGGAACAGCACCGGGGCGGCAAGTTTCCACGGCATCCAGTAGCCGTGTACGATTACTGATAGTATGAAGCTGCTTTCGCACCATGAACTCCACCATGGAAATGCCGCACGTAGTCGCCCGCGCATCCTTGTTACGAGCTCGTCTGTGATCGCGTATTCGTAGGGAATGTGTTGCTCGCCCATCCCGATCTCCGGTGTATCTGTGCCACGGGTCGAAGAAAGGCACGGACTATGAGTACGCCTCTTTTTTTTTTTTTTTTTTTTTACGGGTGCTTATTGTCCTTGATACGATTGCATGTACCAACAATGAAGCCGTGTGTGGATGAGCCCATACCGGATAGGTCGTTTGCGCACTCCTCACCTTCTCTTCCGGATTGGCACGTTTGCTTCTCTCTCTCACTCTCTCTCTCCCTCCCTCTCTCTCACTCTCCCTCTCTCTCTTCTTCTTCCTTGTCTTCTTCTCTTTCGCGGTGTTCAACAAGCCCTAGGTGGGCTGCCGTATCGTGTCTCGTTCTTTTTTTTTTTTTTTGGCAGCGTGTCTTGTGTCGCGGGCTATTTTCCCGTCGTGGCAATTGCGCGTAGTAATATGCCTGCCCCTCTCCATCTGTATGCCTCCTTGTGTGCTTGCCTTGCTAGTGGCCCTCTCTTGTCCCATTAAATTGGGCGGGTGCTGGCCGAATCATGTAGCCTCCTTAAACAATCCCCATCATTTCGCACTTCGCACTTGCTCGCTTTCTTTCTCGTCTTACTTTCCTCTCTCTCTCTCTCTCTTTTTTTTTTTTTTTTTTTCGCCGGCAGCAAATACCTCCACTCTTTGAGGCTTGCTTGCTTCAACAATCCAGGTTTCAAACGTTCAAATATTATTCATTGGCCACGTAACAACAATCATCCACATTTCATGCCCTTCCGGCCTATATTCCATACGCATAGATCTCATGATTGCCACTCATGGCTAAAACCTAGGACTCCTAGTCCTACCCCCTTCACTTGGGGTCGGCCGGCGGCCGTTCTACGCGCTCAACTGATCTGGCCAGCGGCTTAAGCGCGCCGTGTTGCCCATGCAACATCCTCTCCGCGCCCCCAAGTGGTTTCCCCCTCAAGGGGTCACACCACCGGCGCGGGACCTTGGGGTCCCCGCCCATTTTCTGGGCACACATTGGCCATGTGGCCTGGCTGCCCGCACTTGAAGCAAGTTCCACGAAAGCTCCTGCCGTTTTCGTCCATTGGCAGCCCGCGTTTGTTGCCAAATGCTCCGGTTCCTCGCCCTCCACCGCGTGCGGCACGACCGAGATTGCCTTGCGCGCGTTCCATGGCCGCAACGTCCGCCATGGCTTGCTTGAATGGGTGTGAGGTGAACAAGCTCTTCTCCTCGTACATCTTGAACCGGTTAGCAACGCGGAAGTTCGTGTAATCGGCGACGTGAAGAAGCTTGAAACGATTGTTGACGAGCGTGAGTGCCTCCTCGAGAAGTTCGATGGCACTGGCCGGTTCGTTGAGTCGCACCTTCTGTTCCGCGTGCATCAGGTAAGCGCGCAGGTCCTCGAGCTCGGCTTGCTCACGGACAGCCGCGTTCTTGAATGAGGATGCGGGGAGGTTGGGGTTGGAGGTGAGAAGAGGGGGAAGGTGCTCGGTGGTCGAAAAAAATGCATTATCAGCAGGTGCCTCACCAGCTTCGTCGTCTGAAGTGTCGCTGTCGGCGGGATTTTCCGGTCCCGGGGTAGCCTTGACAGTGGTGCCCTCGGTGCGTGCGATTTTTGCCGTGCGAGCGTGTTGCACCGTCTCCCTTTTTTCCTTTGCGCTTTTAGCAGAAATTGAAGTCGCGTTTGGTGTAGCGGTTGCTTCCGTAACGGCGGGGACTTGCTGCTGTAAGAGGGACAACAGCTGCTGCAGTTGGGCCGAGGTGAAGACGGGCGAGGCCACAGGCGCGTCAGGGGCCTGAGGCGCGTCAGGGCCCACGTAGCATAGGATAATTCTCGTAGCACAATTAACTATTATTCACTATTCTAGGGTGTGGGTGGGTGAGAAACTTGACTAAACCGTTTGAAAATGAGAGACGTGGGTGGAGGGAAATAACCTCCAGCCCACGTTTTGTACTCCAAAACGGGCGTTTAGCGCGGTTCGCCGATGACCATTGCTACATTACAAGCCGCTTCGCTTTCAAAATACACAATTTTGAAAAGCGTTACAGCTTTTAAAAATATTCATTTTCCAGGTTCAGATTGTCATTACTGTACGCCTTATATGGCAGCACTTCTTGACCAGTGTACAATTGCGAACGAGCTTTTATTGATCAACAAGTTTGTCTTCTCAAAGACAACAACATGAAACGGGTTATTAATCAATGGCACAATACAAAACCTAACTGTGAATCAATAGAAAAAAATGGAAGCGATTTCCTGGATTCCATGAAAGCCTTTACTTGTGAAAGGGGAAGTTGGTGCGGCGGGTGGTTTCACCTCTTATTTCCCGTGCTGCCTTATCATACTCCCGAGCTGCCTCTTCAGGTGTGGCGAACGTCCCAAGCCACCTCCTCACGCCATGGATGTTGTCCTTTCTCTCCGCCACCCACCGATTGCCCAATCCCCTCTTTCGAACTCCAATGTACCTCATTTCTTCACGGGATATCTCTTCTGCTCGTCTCTTGATCGTCTCAGGTCGGGGTCCTTTCGGATTGGCAGCAGCATGTGCAGGAGGGGGGGTTGAGAGGCTATTCACCCCTGCACTGGCATCACCAGCCGAGTCTAAGCGAGCTGGCGCTGGTTCTGGAGCAGCACTTGCAGCACTGGAAGGCTCAGCCTGACTATTGCCCTGGCCAGAGAACTCAGGGCCTCGTGATGCGTTCTGCTTCCTTGCTTTCTTGGCTTGGGGAGCTGCCTTCACAGCAGCAGCATCCAGCTGCCTACCCTCTATTGGTGACACCTGCTCAGCCTTCTTCTGTGTCTTCTTCCTCTTCTTCTGCTGCTTGCCTTTCTCCTGCTTGCTTTCCTCTGGTGCCACTGCCTCATTTCCAGCCACACCAAGTGCAACCCCTGTTTCACTAGAATCGCTATAGTTTCGTGGCATCACGCTTGCTTCTGCACCTGGTGCGCTTGTGGCCTCGAGGAGCGCCAAGCTGCTGTAGACCGTTGGATCTCCATAGAGATATTTGATGGGATTTCCAGATGAATCTCCAAGTTTTTTCATGGCTGGAGCGGCAGGTGGAGACTCAGGTTGATCAGCAGCCACCAGCTCAGCCTTCTTCTGTGCCTTCTTCCTCTTCTTCTGCTGCTTGCTTCCCTCCTCCTTCCCCTTTGGAGCACCCACAGCAGCACCCACTACGGCCGTCTTCAGCAAAACTTCCTCACTCCCACCCACAAAAAGTGCAACATCAGCATAGCTAGAATCACCAGTCTTTCTTGGCATCACACACGATTCAGCGACTGAAATGTTCATGGTGGCAGCTGTGGACCGTTGGATCTCCAAATGGATCTCCAGATGCACCTCCAGATAAATCCCCAGGTTGTTTCACGGCTGGGCCATTAGGAGAATACTCAGATAATTCACCAGGTTGATCTGCAGGCATCCCCGCACTGCACGTAACACTCAGCATCCTATTTCCACCCGTCTCTGGTGCCTCCTCTAGCAGCAGCGTCTGCAAGAGCTCCTCCTGTGCCATCAAGTCCTGGCTCGCCTGCGGCAGCCCCCCTCCCACCTCAGCATCTCCATTCCGCCCTCCCAGTGACGCCAATTCGATGCAAGCTGCTGCTTGCGCAGCCGTTGAGAAGATCCCTGTCGGCATGTTCCCTCTCGGGGAATTTCTGGTCAGCATGTTTGCGCCCGGAGCCAGGGCTTCAAAGGTGGTGAAGGGATACGGCAGCGAGTCGATGAGGGTGAGAGGGTCCATGAGGAGTAGGGACGTGTAGTCGTCGCACCCACCCACGAACATGCTTTCTGCTTTTGCGCACTCAGTAGCAACAGTGGTGCGATCTGCAGCAGCGCCGGCAGCAGCATCAGCTGCAAAAGGAGCAGCAGCATCAGCTGCTGAAAGAGCACCTCTGGCGTTTGGAGAGTCTATGTCTGGAAATCCTGAAGCATGTACTAGGTAGTGTGGACGGTGGGGAGTGTGCGGGGAGCCAGGAGAGTGGGAAGAGTCTGTTGTTGTAAAATGATGGGGCTCGTTCGTCCCAGCAGGAGCAGCAGCAGCAGAAGCGGCAGCAGCAGCAAGCAGTTGCTGAACTTCCCAAGAGTTAAGAAGGCCTTCGCTCACATTCTGCGACTCCGAGGTGATGCTCTGCAGCCCCACAGAAGTAGCGGCCATGTCGGCATGGCGAAGATCGTTCACTCCAGCAGGTTCCCGGTCCGGTTCACCCGGTTCACCTGCGTTAAGTCTGCTGCTGTGGGGGGAGGTATCAGTTGCCATGCTTGCACCGTGCAAGTACAAGTCCACGAGGTCAACAGCCGTGGGGCTGATGGAGGAAACAGGTACTTGGTGAGTCGGCATCGGCGTCACAACAGCGTTCACAGCACCATCATTCTCAAGCCTTTGAGAGGTCGGTTCGAAAGCCACATTGTCATCACTACAGCCGGCGCTCCCTCCAGGTGCCATATCCATTGCAATGGCAGCTGTTTCACAGTGACGCTTAAACGATGATGACTCCACCCCGACTGCGGCGGACTGCTCTTGCCAGATTTCACAGAGAGGAGCGCAGGGTGCACGGCTAGACCCCGCCGCCAGGGTGCACGGCTAGACCCCGCCGCCAGGGTGCACGGCTAGACCCCGCCGCCAGGGTGCACGGCTAGACCCCGCCGCCAGGGTGCACGGCTAGACCCCGCCGCCAGGGTGCACGGCTAGACCCCGCCGCCAGGGTGCACGGCTAGACCCCGCCGCCAGGGTGCACGGCTAGACCCCGCCGCCAGGGTGCACGGCTAGACCCCGCCGCCAGGGTGCACGGCTAGACCCCGCCGCCAGGGTGCACGGCTAGACCCCGCCGCCAGGGTGCACGGCTAGACCCCGCCGCCAGGGTGCACGGCTAGACCCCGCCGCCAGGGTGCACGGCTAGACCCCGCCGCCAGGGTGCACGGCTAGACCCCGCCGCCAGTTTTCTCGGCGTTGAACTGATCTGGATCTGTCCACCATGCCCCTCTGCAATGCGCACCCCTCCCTCATTCCCCACACGCATCTCTCCCTGACCCCCCACGCCAACCCACGCTGCAGTTTGCGAGTCGGACAGGCCGCCACGCGCCGCAAGCCATGAGGACCCATCATCAGATGATCTCGCATCCGCCAAAGCGGCATGGCTTTCTGGACAAGAACTGACGATTCCGGACCCCAGGTTTGGGCAGATGGAGGTACTAGGCTCGGGCTGAGCCTCAACAAGGGTCCGAGGCTCCGGCTGTGGGCAAATGGTGGTGGTACTAGGCTTAGGCTGGCCCTCCGCATGGGTTGATCCCAAACTGGCTGGTTCGTCGGCTTGAAAGAAGCCGCACACGCCGTTGGGGAAGGAGAAATAGTAGAACCGCAGACCGCCGCCGCCGCCGGCTGGATCAGATATGATTTGATCGGGTGCTACAGCTGTGACGCTGGGAACCGTGGCTGAGCTCTTGAATGTAGCGGTCTCCATTGTGCTCCGCGGCGCCTCTGCCAGGGGTTGCACGGACGAGAGTGGGCCGGCATTAGCTGCCAGTGGGCCGGCATTAGCTGCCAGTGGGCCGGCATTAGCTGCCAGTAGACTGGCCTTAGCTGCCGGTGGGCCGGCATTAGCTGCCAGTAGGCCGGTATTAGCTCCCGGTGGGCCGGCATTAGCTGCCAGTAGGCCGGTATTAGCTGCCAGTAGGCCGGTATTAGCTGCCAGTGGGCCGGCATTAGCTGGCAGTGGCCCATGATGCATGATGTGGCGTTGACGCGGCACGCTGGAGAAAACGGTTGTTCCAGACGGTGTTTCTCGCGTTGTTCCTGTCGAAATACTTTGTCATGTTTTATAATTGCTTGTAGTTGTAGTTAGTGTAGTTATGTAAACTTTTGTTGGTGGTGCACCTTATTGTGTTTCTATGCTATATGTACCCCTGAACCTATAGTGAAACACACCTTTTCACAATTTCTCCTCTCCAACTCACTCGACTCTCACCCTAGGTGAAAACCCGCTCGATACTAAGTTAGGGCCTAGGCTACTAAGCCTAGGCCCCATGTTTCTACTCTGTATTACCTACTATTTTGACATGTTATCGGAGCTAGGTTCGTCCTGGCCTGTGGGCCCACTTTACACTTCCGCTGCTAAGGTTTTCCGGTCGCGCGCCTAGGGCGCGTGACGACTTTATTTTTACATTGTCCCGCCCACGGGCGAGTGACTCCTTCCGTGCCCGTCGCGCGCCCCGTGGCACGCGACGGTGCCCTTCGTCTGCCCATCGTGCGCCCCGTGGCACACGATGGTGCCCTGCTCGTCGTGCGCCCCGAGGCACACGATCGGGCCCTTCTATTCTACCCGTCGTGCGCCCCGTGGCACTGGCCCGCGACGGGCCTTTCCGCCCCTGCACTCCCTGAAGCCGCCCCTGACACCACTGCACCGACACCTTTTCGCCGCTCTGCGGCTTTCTTCCTTCCCACCCCCCTCCTCCTTTGTCTCCCTGCAGCCGCGGGGAGGAGGGTATGGGGGTGGAGGGTGTTGGAGTGTGGCGTCACCTCTCTCCCTTCCCCTCCTCCTTCTTTCAGTCCCACCGCTGCAGCTGCCGCTGGGGGGAGAAGGTGTGAGGATGTGGGGGAGCAGGGGGAGTGGTACCGGGGTGGCGGGTGTGAGGCAACAAGCAGCCGTCCCTCCACCTCTCCTCTCTTCCCCCTTTCTCTGCTGCTTCTGCAGCAGTGTGGGGGAGGGGAAGGAGGAGGGTGAGGAGATGGTAGGGGTACCTGCTGTTGCTATAACTACACACCTACCTACAAGCATTATGGGGGCGTGTCGAAATACTTTGTCATGTTTTATAATTGCTTGTAGTTGTAGTTAGTGTAGTTATGTAAACTTTTGTTGGTGGTGCACCTTATTGTGTTTCTATGCTATATGTACCCCTGAACCTATAGTGAAACACACCTTTTCACAATTTCTCCTCTCCAACTCACTCGACTCTCACCCTAGGTGAAAACCCGCTCGATACTAAGTTAGGGCCTAGGCTACTAAGCCTAGGCCCCATGTTTCTACTCTGTATTACCTACTATTTTGACAGTTCCAGACGGTGTTTCTCCTCCGGGCCGCTCTGCTGCGGCCATACTCGCGAGATGTTCTAGCAGCCTCTGGAGAGTGGTTGAGTCGAGCGATGCAAGCATTGCATCGCTCATGTGCGAATGACTCAGGTCACGTGCCTGGGTCTCATGACGTGGCAGCGATGGGGATGATGTGGAGCTGTGATGCTGATGCTGCTGATGCTGATGCTGATGTTGCTGATACTGCGGCGGCGGCTGCGGAGTTGCTGAGGTGGTAGTTGCCTTGTTCGACTCAGAGTCTGGAATGTGGGCTCTGGGGATCACGTGGATCCGTGATGTTGATGCTGATGCTGCACGATTGGGTTCGACCGCACGTCGGTTCAACCGCAAGCCGCCACGACGCCGCTCCTACTTTCCAGAGGAGCCCTCCGAGTCCGGGCTACCACTGGTGGCATCATGATTCTCGGAAACGTCAGTGGTATCGGAGCAGGTTAGAACTGAGACTGACGGCGATGCTGGCGCCGATTCAGGCAGAGCTGCCTCTGCCACTGCGGCAGCGGCATCATGAGCTTGACCATGGCGCAGACTCTGGCCGCTTTGCCGCGAATCAGAGCCGGGTGACATAGTATGTATGCTGTGCCGCCGCGACGTGATAGGCTGTGACAGCCTCTCCTGGAATTACGAGGAATCTAGTAGTACACTACTAGTAGCACCAGCTTACGGGAGCCTATGCTGTGGTAGCAGTACGTGGTGCTCGATTCCTAGTAGAGCAGGCGCTACTGGTAGTAGTAGGTAATAACTCCAAAGAGCAACTCCAAGCTCGCCGCCGAAATGTGCAAGTCTCGCTACTAGTTTGGAAGCAGACGAGGGTTTCGTCGCACAAAACGCCCCCCCAAGAATACTGAACGATGGCTCTCGTCCCGATTGCTCCCCACTTTCCATGATTGCGGAGATGACATTCAGTGAAGGGAGAAACACTGGAGGAGTCAGTGTCTCCCACAGGAACCGAACACCGAATCGACTTGGGGGGACTCTCTTCCCACTGCTCTAGGACATCGGATGCTTGCTCTACACTACTTCAACTTGAAGACGACCTGAAATCCCTATCTGACTTGAATCTACTACTGGACACCTGTGTTGTTATCTGTGCACCTTAACAACGACAGCATCATCCTGTGGGGGAATGGGCGGCATTCCCGCACCGGCAGTGGGGGTGAGTCGTTTATCTACACCCACCACGACCTGCAGCAAGAGCTGACGTCACCATCCACCTCGGCTTATCTGCACGACCTGCGGCAGCAAGACCTAACGACACCAGTCCAACCACTAGCTGACTCTATATTCTAATGCCTCTAATCTTTCTACTGGGGGACGAATTCACTCTTCGAAATGGTGATCTTCGAGGGCGAGCACCGACTCCTACGCAAGCGTGAGAAGCGCGTTAAGCTGATTCAGTAGCTGCGCTCCATGTTGTATCAATATGTTATTCCACCCAAAGTAAAGTAGAAGTGATTGCAAAATACAAAAACAAATTTCATAAGAAACAAGTACAGCTAGTAGTAACAACTTACAACTGAAAAAAAAACTTTGACAAGTACTAAAGTGACATTTAAAACACATACACAACCGTCTCTAGTGAAGCAGCATTGTGCAAATTCCTAGTGTCAAATTACAATTGTTGACATATCACGAAATGCCACCCTGTTATAACATGTTGTACTAACTAGATTAAAACTGGTCTGATGTAAACCATCACCAATAAATTTTGAGATAGGGTGATGGTTTACAATAAAATACAATATCAAAGCAATCTTTTTTTCTAAGAACTGTAGCGTAGCCGTAACTGTTTTGCGTGAGCAGTGGTTTGACGCCGCATGTTCCCTTTTTCTTTCTCTTGTCACGCTTGCATACATCTGAAGTGTAGACGAAGGACAAGTTGGGCTCTTCGTTGAATGAACGCGAGCATGAACTCCACTCTTGTGGCTGGAAAGCTTGGAATGGAATTCCTACCTCTCAAGTGTACAGTACAGCTTCAATGCACAGAGACCCAGTGTGGCACTAGATCTAGCCACCACTGGTCTAGACAAGGCTAGAACCACACCCCTTAATCGTACACCCTGGGGTACTTAACCTATCCCTATCGGTTTCGTAGGGTAGTTACCAACGTCTAGGAAAACCGCGGAGGAGGGTCCGACGTACTTTCGTGAACTGTCGGGGTGCACCAAAAATATATAAGAGAACCCAAACCTAACTAAACCCCGAACCCGAATTGTAAGTGCGAGTTTCTTTTCTGAAGGCACCTGCCAGCTGTATAGTCCCGTAGTCTCTGGGTATCCATCGCATCAAGACAGAAGTCCGTAAAGGGTACATACGGAAAAAAAGGGAAGGTGTACACACATAGAATCGTGACAAAAACATACAGTACCAGATACTTCATGATCATGAGAAGAAACTGAACTTCTTGACCGCGACAAACCCAAGTTCTTCACCTGGTCCTCCTTAATTTTCACCATCCGACCCGGGTCTAATTCGTTTAGTGAGACGGGCAACCTGTGACTACAGAACTAGCAGTGAACACCCAGGAGGAATTTAATTATAATGAACCTCACACTTAGTGATCCGAGAGAAATGGCGGATTGGCATTGACCAAGTTGTGCTTACCATACCTCACGAAGGGATACGTAATTCTGCTCCCGCTCATTCTAGAACTACCCATATAAACTAGTTTGAACAAGAATAGGTACCCGGGTGATGAGTTATGGTCGGTGAGAATACGAGCCCATTCTCAAGTTTTCCCACCATCGAAGTTTGCCCACCAGCCCGTTTTTCCGAAGATGATGGTGCCTTTGGTGGGAACGCTCCCACTCTACCCACCGAACCTCATTTAGGCGGGCGACAGATGTCGCCAGCGTCGCATGTCCGATATCCAATAAAATTGACGCGCCAGCTCGCATACCAAGTGTTGGAGGAACTTCGTCAGGCAAAACCTAAACGGCCGTGCCTGACGATTGCGCCTGACGTAAATTTTGGGCACAATGGTCATATCAAGTCAACGTGGGTTTACTTGGCAAAATCAAGCAACGCAGAAATGGGTTTCGTGGGCAGGAAAGAAATATATGGGACGGCTGTGTGCACGAAATTGGCATGTCTAACACTAGTCCCAACACCCAGCAAACGTGGCATGATCTCCATTGTCGTACACTGACGAACAGGCCAGGAATTGCGACCATGGCCGGTTGGACTCATGGTGGCCAAACTTCATATCGCGTGGGGAAACTTTCCAATGTAAAATAATGCCACCTCAACATTTCGAGTCGCGTGGGCAAACTTCTGATGGTGGGAAAACTTGAGAGTGTCCCTAAGCTCAATGCGGCAAGTCGGATCCGGTGGAGGTCCTCCATAACCAATTGATACGTCTGTTTCTGCGCCCTGATCAGAAGCGACAGAACTGCGCGTAGGAGAAAAAATTCCAGTAACAGTGCTGCATCAACTGGTAACCAAAGGAGGTTCTCTACAGCACAAAATCTCATGTGTTTAGGAGTGACACGTGGGAGGGGAGGTGTTATGAGTTGTACTAAGAAGAGTGCGCGGAAGACTTTATAAATTGGATTAGAAGTACAGAACGTCGAGAATGATAAAGAGGCATGCATTTATAGGGTCGAAACCGTGGTAGGCGAGGACCTCGGGACGTGGATGGTTTGGAAGTGTCGCGATTGGTGCGGAGCGACTCGGCAGTGGTTCAGTCCGAAGTATAGGCCGAACCTCGAAACTGACACGAAACGCTTGGGGCTGTCCTCGCTAGGAGCAGCCTCTACAGTAATGAATTCGTATTCATTACAGGAGGGGACTCTCGCCGCACCCTCATACACACGGTCCTCAGTAAAGGAACTCCGGCTTGTCAAAGTGACTGTACAGTAAAAATTGTGGTTCCTTCTCTAGTGATTTCTCTTGTGACTTCTTCAGATTCATTTTCAATGTTAAGACTTCAGGGGTCTGAATAATCAGACGTGGTTCACAAAAAAGGGTGTGACAAAAAGCAGAATCTGGTACTCTGGTAACATTACAGAACATATACTTGCTACTGGAATCTGCACATGCTCAAGAACCAAACAAACAAATGCCATCTCCCCCCTCCCTCTCACTCGAAGCTCTCAGTCTCCTGAATGTCAATCATCTCCTTCACCTCCACCTCCGCCTTAAACTCCTCATGTTCATCGATATGCCGCCACTCGTCTAGCACCATGCGCCGCCTCTCCACCTCTGCAGCACCCCCTCCCCTTCCCCCTCACTCAAACCTCTCAATCTCCTCCTGAATGTCAATAATCTCCTCCACCTCCACCTCCTCCGCCTTATACTCCTCTTCCTCCTCCTTCACGCCTCCTCTAATCGCTGCCCGCAGCTTCTCCTCCTGCTCGTCTATGTGCCGCCACTCCGCCTGCCACTGCCGCCACTCGTCCAGCACCATGCGCCGCCTCTCCACCTCGGCTGCGCTTGACGCCGCCCCGGCCTCCTCGTCCTCCACCTCGTACTTTCGGCTGTACTTGCGCAGGTTCTTGGAAACTTCTGCCTCTTTTTCCGCGGGCAGCAGGGAGGGGGGTCGGGGTCTCCACAGGAACTGGAAGGTGAGAGATAAGGAAAAAGGCAAGGACGTAAGGCACAGCGAGGGTTGGCGAGGGGAGACGGTAAGGTTTTTTCGAGCCACTTCAAAGGTCCAGGGAAGGGGGAGTGCAGTGCAGTGCAGACAATGTGAGGGAAAGATGCAAGGCGGATTACGAGGAGGACTAGAAGGTACATCGAGACAAAAAGTGGGAACGGAAACAAGAGAGGGGAGTCCGCTGTTTGTCTTGTTGTTTACACATGCAAAAAAAAAAACCATGATGACTATCGAAATGCACGGGGACACTCGGAGCATGGCAGCATGGCAGCATGGCAGCACGAGCCTTCCTCCCTCTCACCTGCATGAAGCGGTCACGGGGGAGCTGGTAGAGCAGGCGGCCGCTGAAGGACCAGATGTGGAAGCCGTTCTCCATCTGATGCACCGACGTCACCGCCGTTGCTAGGTACCTGGTGGTGATGGCAGCGGAGGGGGAGGGTGAGGGTGACGGGGAGGGGGAGGGGGAGGGGGAGGGGGAGGGGGAGGGGAGGGAGGAGGAATGGGGCCAAGAGGGTGGTAAGGGGGGCAGGGGGGGGGGGGGGAGGGGGAGGGTTTGAAGGGAACAGAAGAGAGCAGAAAAACGGGTGCTGAAGGACCAGATGCCAGTGACGTGGTTAGGCAGCTTATTTGCGATGCGGGGAGATGCAGGGAAGGGATGGAAGAGGGGTGTGCTACCCGTTGAACCCCTTCAGCCCCGCCTCACATACCCAACCCCCGCCTCCCCCCCCCCCCAGTCCCCTCTCTCCACAGCCATGCACCCGCACACCCTGCCCATCTCACCCGCCACACCAAGCCCCATCTCTCACCCGCCACACCAAGCCCCATCTCTCACCCGCCACACCAAGCCCCATCTCTCACCCGCCACACCAAGCCCCATCTCTCACCCGCCACACCAAGCCCCATCTCTCACCCGCCACACCAAGCCCCATCTCTCACCCGCCACACCAAGCCCCATCTCTCACCTGCCGGTGGGGTCCCATTCGACATCGGTGGCCATGAAGTGCTCCCCCGTGCCCATGGTCTCCAGCTCGTCCACATTGAAGAACTCAAACTGCCCGTTGAACCCCTTGAGCCCCGCCAGCACCAGGAACCGCCCCATGGGCGACCAGCACAGCGTGTTCGCCTGCTTCCCCTTGAGCGTCGTCAGCTTCGCCACCTTCACAACGCCCCCCGCGCCGCCCGCCCCCGCCGGCTTCATCGTGTAAATCGACACGTCCGGCTTCGGCCCGTCCCCGTGAATCACCGCAAATCTATGCCCCTTGGGCTCCCACGCAAAGTCGATGACCTTATCGTTCTTGTTTTCCAGCTCAAGGACTTCGATAGGGATGTCGCGCTCCTTGATGCGGAAGAGCTCGAAGCCCGAGTAGGTGGTTTTCTTGGTCTTGGTGTAACGGTCAACCTTGACTGCCAGGTACTCTCCCGCGCTCTGCCACGCCATGCGGCACTCGCTCACGCTGAATAGGTTCTTTTGCCTCAGCTCCTCGCGCGATGGAATGGCAACAAGGCTCACCTGGATGGGGGGAGGGTGGTGAGGGGGGGACGAGAGGGCGAGAAAGGGGGAGGGAAAGAGAAAGAGAGGCAGAGGGGGGAAGGTAAGACGGTTCAGGACGATGGGGAGCAGAGAGGCGGAGGGGCAGAGAGGCGGAGGGGCAGAGAGGCGGAGGGGCAGAGAGGCAGCGGGGCAGAGAGGCAGCGGGGCAGAGAGGCAGCGGGGCAGAGAGGCAGCGGGGCAGAGAGGCGGAGGGGCGAAACCAAGTCAAGCTGCTCCCCATCCCACTCACCCTGGCGGGTTGGTTGCCGCCATTGGACTCGGGAATGTACATGGCGAGGATGGGCTCAGCGGGCGACCATGTGAAGTCGTGCACGTGGTCCGCCTTGCCCCGTCTGCTCACTCAAGCACTCGCTGCCCCCTGTGCCGCACTCACTAAGGGGAACAGGCACTCACCCTAGCAGGTTGATTCCCGCCATTGGACTCGGGAATGTACATGGCCAGGATGGGCTCAGCGGGCGACCACGTGAAGTCGTGCACGTGGTCCGCCTTGAGCGACTTCTTGTCCAGCAGCGCCATGGTGCTCGTCTCGTAGACAGACACACAGTTCTTCCCCATGCGCGCGAAATACTTGTCCTCCCGCCCGCCCGCCCACCTGAGAGAGAGCAGCGCGAGACCGGGAGAGGGGGGGCACAGGGGTCCGGGAAGGGAAGGAGGAATGGATAGGGAGTCGAGGAGAAGAGAGAGGTGGGGAGGAGAGAGAGGTGGGGAGGGGAAGAGGTAAAAGAGGAGAACACGTGAAGTCGTGCACGTGGTCCGCCTTGAGGGACGTCTTGTTAAGTAAGGCCATGGTGCTCGTCTCATACACCGACACACAGTTCTTCCCCATGTGCGCGAAGTACTTGTCCTCCCGCCCCCCGGCCCACCTGAAAGAAAAAAGGGGAAGAGAGAAGGGGAGCGGAGGAAGAGGAAGTGGAGAAAGTGGAGCGGGGAGGAAGAGGAAGGAGAAGCGAGACGAGCACTACACACAGAAGTTGACCACTGAAGACCACAGGACCCTCGTAAGACCACAGAACCCATTTCAAGACCACAAAACCCACCTGAAGACCACAAGGATCCCGTGAAAACCACAGGACCCATTTAAAGACCACATGACCCACCTGAACACAGGCCACTGCACGCCGGCAACGCCACCGGCGCCGCCAGTAGCAAAGTCGTCCGCGGCGCCCTTGAACTCGCGCATGCTCTTGCCGGTACGCACGTCAAACACGTTCAGCACCACCTTCTGTGTGTCCCGCGGGTTGGCGGGCTCGTGGCTGCTGTACGTCACGAGGAAGCGCTCCCCGGGGGAGAAGTCGATCAGCCGCACCTGCACACCACAACAAGGATGGGGAATAATACGGCCGCACGGCACAGCGTGGGGGGGAGAAGAGGGGGAGGAGAAGGCGAGGGCACAGCGTTAGCAGGTTCGTGGCTGGCTGTATGTCACCAGGAACCGTTCCCCGGGCAAGAAGTTAATCAGGCGCACCTGCGGAGTGATTGTAGCGAATGAGGGAGATATGGGATGAGGAGGAGAGCGAGGGAGCGGGGAGGGGGAAAAGGGGGGGCGAGGAGGACGGGAGGGAGAGGGGGGAAGAGAGAAGGAAACGGGTCAGCGGGCTCGTGGCTGCTGTACGTCACCAGGAAGCGCTCCCCCGGCGAGAAGTCAATCAGGCGCACCTGAGGAGGGGAAAGGAGGAACGGACGGAGAATACGGCAGCACGGCACAACGTGAGGGGAGAAGAGACACACGAGATGGTGAGGGCACAGCATTAGCAGGCTCGTGGCTGGCTGTTGTACGTCCCCAGAAACCGCTCCCCCAGCGAGAAGTGAATTGGGCGCACCTGGCCTGTGATTGTAACGAGCAAGGGGCCGATGGGAAGGGGACGAGAGGGAGGGAAGGGGAAATGGGAGACAGGAGGGGTAGGTGGAATCGGCGGAGAGAAGGGGGGAGCGGGAAAAGCGGGAGAGGAGGGGAAGGTAGAGGAGCGGGTGGGGGGCTAAGGGGGAGGAGTAAAGAAAACGGTTGGTTGGTAAGAGCAGGGAAGGAGAAAAAGGTGGGACCGAAGGAGGATCGCGCCTTTTTCTCCTTTGGGCCCGCGAGCAAGAATCGAGCGTGAACTGAGACGGTTTTATAGGCGACTCAAGAATAGAGCCCGCGAGCAAGAATGGAGCGGCCAAAACTGCGCAGGAAGGCTTGACACACGAGGGCATGGAGATTACGAGCAGCAAGGGGCGCAGTTATCTGGGGAAGGTGGTACCTGCAGTTATCTGGGGAAGGTGGTACCTGCAGTTATCTGGGGAAGGTGGTATATCTGGGGAAGGTGGTACCTGCGGGTGCGCCAAGTACATGATGCGTTGCCATGAGGAGCCGGCCCAGATGGCTGCTCCACCAGGTATCCCTCACAACCCACCTGCACCCCTCACAACCCAACATGCAACCCTCACAACCCACCATGTAACCCTCACAACCCACCATGTAACCCTCACAACCCACCATGCAACCCTCACAACCCACCATGTAACCCTCACAACCCACCATGTAACCCTCACAACCCACCATGTAACCCTCACAACCCACCATGTAACCCTCACAACCCACCATGTAACCCTCACAACCCACCATGTAACCCTCACAACCCACCATGTACCCCTCACAACCCACCATGCACCCCTCACAACCCACCATGCAACCCTCACAACCCACCTGCGGGTGTGCGAAGCGCATGATGCGTTGCCACGAGGAGCCGGCCCAGATGGCGGCGCCCTGGCGATGGATGGTGGCGAGGTAGCTCCCCAGCGGCGACCACTGCACGAAGCTCTCCGTCCAAAACTGAAGGGGGGGAGGGCGGGGAGAGGGGAGAGAAGGTGGAGGAGGGGGAGAGGTTGGGAGGAGAGGGTAGTGGGGGGGTGGAGAGGGGGTAGGAGAGGGGGGTGGAGAGGGGGTAGGAGGGGGGGGTGGAGAGGGGGTAGGAGAGGGGGGTGGAGAGGGGGGTGGAGAAGAATGGGATAGCGTCTATCATCCCTCCCCAACCATGCCGCTCAATCCCCTTCCCCTTCCGTGGGCGCGGCTGGATCATTCCCCCCCCTGCGGCTCATCCGCCAAAGCGGCTCATCCCCCCCTGCGGATCATCCACTCATTGCGGCTCGTACCCCCCCTGCCCCTCATTCCCCCCCCTGCGCCTCATTCCCCCCCTTGCGCCTCATCCCCCCCTGCGCCTCATTCCCCCCCTTGCGCCTCATCCCCCCTTGCGCCTCATTCCCCCCCTTGCGCCTCAACCTCCCCTTGCGCCTCATCCCCCCCCCTGCGCCTCATCCGCCCCCTGCGCCTCATCCCCCCCCTACGCCTCATTCCCCCCCTTGCGCCTCATCCCCCCCTTGCGCCTCATCCCCCCTTGCGCCTCATCCCCTCATTGCGCCTCATCCCTTTATTGCGCCTCAACCCCTTCCCCTCCTTCATACCGTGCAGCGGTAAACAGGGTCGGGCTTGGCAGCGCGTGCGTCGTTCCCGTAGACCGCGGTCTCTCATCCTCCCGCCACCCCCTGCTGCTCGTCGCTCGCTCCACTCCCCTCCCCCTACCGTGCGGCTTTCCCCCTCCCCCTCTCCCCCTCTTACCGTGCGGCGGTAGACGGGGTCGGGCTTGGCGGCGCGCGCGTCGTTCCAGTAGACCTCGGTCTCCGACGCGAAGCGGATCACAAACTGGTCGCGCCCGCGCTCGTCCGCCGCGAACCATTGCAGGTTCTCCTGCGCGCGGGGGGAAAGGGGAGGAAAGGGAGGGGGAAAGGGAGGGGTAAAAGGGAGGGGCGGAGTGAAGCGACTCAACAACACATCTCGACCGCCACGAACCATTGCGGATTATCCTGCGCGCGGGGGAAGGGGGAGGGGAGGGGGGGGGGGGAGAAAGGGGGGTAAAAGGGAGGGGGGGAGTGAGGCGACTCACGAACACAGCTCCCTTTTATCCCTCCGCGAACCATTGCGCGGAGGAATGGGGAGGGGGAGGGAAGAATGGGGGTGGGGAAGGGGGGAGGAGAGAGGAGAAGAGGGGAGATGAGGGGGGAATAATCTGCGCCAGCCGACTCAAGCTAAACCTCATCCGCCGCACATTCGCGGGCCCACCACGGGCGTCTACTCCTTGAGCGGCGGCACGCAGCAGTGGCGAGGATAAGACGGCATTCAGACGAACTCGCCCTTGGCCCTAGTTGCTCCATCGATCCGTCCCACTCACCCACGCTCCCACGCACCCACCATCCACCAACCCAACCACACACCCACCCACCTAACCATCACCAACCCAACCACACGCCCACCCACCTAACCATCACCAACCCAACCACACACCCACCCACCTAACCATCACCACCCCACCAACGCACCCACCCACCTAACCATCACCGCCCCACCCACGCACCCCCTCCCCCCTCTCCCACACCCACGCACCGAGGGCGTGTACTCCTTGAGCGGCGGCGGCGCGTATTGGTCGGGCACGCGCGCGTACTTCTCGAAGTCGTCAAACATGGAAACTTTAAAGACGTGCGCCTTGTCCAGCTTGTACCCGTCCATCTGCTCCCGCGCCGCTTGCGCCTCCTGCATGCAACAAAAAGGGAAGCCACGGAGCGACGAAGCGACAAAGAGGAACGATAGACATGGGTATGGGACAGACAGGGGGGGCGGATAACACGCGAAAGAGGGGACGGAAAAAGGGTAGAGAATCGGGGAAATCAATGCAAATGCAGGAAATCGCAGACAGAGAGGCGAAAACGAAAGCATCGCATCTTGGTCAATACTTATTTCGTACCTGGGGAGTGGCATACTCGATAAAGGCATATCCGTTTGTCTTCTGCGTCTCCTTATTCACGGGCATCCACAGGCCCCCCTCCCGAATCAGCCCAATCTGCCCGAAAATTTTCTTGGCCACGGTCTGCAGCTTCTCAAACTTTTCGGGCGGCACGACGGGCAGGTTGTCGACGACGATGACGTTCCCGAAGCCCGTCTCCGACTCCACCACCTCCAGCTCCTCCTCCTCGTCCTCGCTGCGCGCAGGGGGAAAACGAAGGGACGGAAGAGAGAAAAGAGAGGGTTGGGGGAGGGGAGGGGAGGAAGAGGGGGGGGGGGGGGAGGGGATGGGAGGTTGGGTGGGGGGGAAGGGGAGATGACGTGAGAACGAACAGAAAAAAAAAAAAGATAAAAGGAAATTGAACTCATCGGAGCCCTCCTGCGGACGATTATTTTAGGCGCCTAAAAAGCGGACCGGAGACGGAAATTGGACTCGTTGGCGACTCGGAAGTTTCTCCTGCGGACCTAGTGGATGGGGGGAGACGAGGAGGCGCAACCAGAAACGATTATGAAATTACCCTGATCCTGTAGCGAACGGTGCAGATCTTGTAACAGTTTGCGAGCCGCCATGGTATCTATGCCGTTACCGGATCGCATCGAGAAGGCTGTCAGCAGGTTAATCGGCGCGCAGAGGAAACTTACAAAACCTGCGGCGTGATGCTCTAGATTGGAAACCCTAAAAGAGCCATGCGATCGCCCGACTTCAATGTTCCGCCTTGTCAGGCTGCTATTCCCCGTATTCTCCCTTCCTCCACCCCCTCCTCTCTCTTTATTGCCAGACTGCTTGCTGCAGAACCAATCCGAATATTGGTCAGCCACGAGTGCGTGATCAGCCGTAAATTCGGGTTTAATCGTCAATTCTAAAAATCGGATGGAAGTATCAAACCCGATCTTGACCCCAACTACTCAGACACAGCCCACCTCTTAATGTCCCTCCTTGTCGGACTGCTTACTGCGGAACTGATCCGCCTTACGGTCAGCCAGGAGTGCGTGATCGGCACTTAACTCGAAATCCAGCGTCGTTTCTCGCAAGCGGATGGAAGTACGAAACCCGATCTCAGTGCTGATTTCTCCACGTGCCAAGTCCGCCTCCATCATTCGTGAGAATTTTGCGAAACCAACTACTCAGACCCAGCCCACCTCTTAATGTCGAAGTCCTCGCCTTCAGGCAACTGAAGCGCCTCGAGATTAACTTGCGACCAGTCGATGTTCAGATCGAACTTAGGAGGCGTGGGTAACGCCTCCACCTCCACCTCGCTGGACTCGACCTCGCGACCCATAGCAGCCGGCAGTGGCAGCAGGTATCAAGTTACGAATCCTATCGTGCAATCGAGGCCTAAAAAATCACTCGAATCCTGCTGTCATGAATTAAGCTCCTCGGACGGCCTAAGCGCAGGGCGATCCGTGCTAGGGACTAGGAGTCGCGAGGTCGGTCGGAGGGTATCGCCTAAGCTCGAGGGCGGGAAAGGAGATTTGTAGATTGCTGCGGATGGCGGTTGAGGGGAGAGTGGAGTGGGTTGCGGGCAGGCGAAGTGAGGCGAAGACGAAACATGTTTGACGAAATATTGGATTTTTGTGAGCGCGTTTTGGGGATTTGTCAAGATGCTTATACGAGGATATATACTTTTTCGTGCAGTCTGTGGTACGAAGTGTAGTTTGAATAGACCCACCCTTCGAGTCACATACTCGTTCTCCATCTTTTTTTTGTGAATGATATTACACTATAACAGTGCATACATTCTCAGTCGTAACTGAATACGCATTCTCCATGGGTGTTATAAGTTGTGTTACGATATGAAGTTTTATGAGAAGGCATTCCTGTATGCTGCAGGAGCCGACTCTACCGAGTACGAAGTTGAGGAGTCAGAAAGAGCCGAAGCGACACAGCAACTGTCAGACCAAGACCGATGCAAACAGTTAAAATGAAAAGAGCGGGAACAGGTTATGAACGGGTTCTCGCGACGCACTGTCTTTCTCTTTGAATTCAGTCACAATAACGGAATGTACCCCTTAGAGTACATGGCTAGCCTATGACCTTTCGTATTCCCCTGTACTCTTATATAAACCCGATGTATGCATGTTATTATCATCTCAGTCATTTACATTCACTCTGACCTGAGGTCTAAACTTCCGTTGCAATACCACTCTGCGATCAACCCTGAGCGATCCTTTGCTAAGTGTGAAATAAGAAAACAGGAATGGTGACTATGAAAATGAAATCAGTACAAGTAGCAAACCCTAACTGGGTTGTACCCCCTATAGGATTCCCCACTACAGCCTACACAACAGTATGAGCTGTATATATGTTCTGACACACCCCCATAGGCAAAGTGGGGGAGAACTAGGGGTCACAAGACCAGTCAAGCAAAGCAAAACAAAGCTCAGGGTGGATCACAAAGTCACCACACAGTCCGAGCACAAGAGCAAGGCCAAAGGCCAGTTCACATGCAAGAGTACAGACATATATATAAAGCAAAACAAGCAAGAGCAGGTGTATATATGTCACAGTACAAGTAAAGTCAAGAAGAGAGCAAGTGAGGCAAGACAGGCACAAGACCCAGCTGGGTACAAAAGCGCTGATGGTCACAAGGCGCAAGTGCCTTGGTGAACACATCAGCAGTGTTGGCCTCAGAGGCCACGTACGCAAGTCGCAACTGACCACGCTGCTGCAGCTCACGAGCAAGGAAGTAGCGGAGAGCAATGTGCTTCGTTCTGTGCTCCAAGCGCTGCTCTCGACACAAGGCCAGCATGGCCTTGTTGTCTACGTACAGCACTGGAGGAGAACGAGGCGGCTCTCCAAGGTCAGTCAGCAGGTAGGTGAGCCAGCGAAGCTCCTGTGCAGCCATGGCCCCGGCGTAGATCTCAGCCTCACAACTGGAGCCGAGAACCGAAGACGAGCGAGTAGACCGCCACGAGACAGAGCCGGAACCAAGGCTGAAGGTGTAACCCTGTGACGACCGCTGCGTAGCCTGGTCGTCAGCCCAAGAAGCGTCCGCGTGGCCTGTAAGGACCACTGGACTCCGCCCTCCAAGCACTAGCCCCATGCCCGACGTACTGCACAGGTAGCGCAATACCCTCTTCGCTGCAGCCATGTGCTCTGGTCGGTGTCTCCCAGGAGCAACATAGCGTGCAAGGATGCTCAGAGGGTATGCAAGGTCAGGTCGTGTGCAGGTCATCAGGTACATGAGGCAGCCAACAAGCTCTGCATACGGACCACTCGACTCTACGGACTCATCCGAAGGCAGAGCTGAGAGTGAGTGGCGAGTAGGCAGAGGAGTGGCCTGAGGCGAGGAGTACGTGAAGCCGAAGCGCTGAAGGACCTGCTGCACCATGTGTGACTGAGTCAAGGTGATGGTGCGGCGTGCTCTGTCCCGAGTGATCTGCAAGCCAAGGTAGCTGCGCAGTTCACCCAGGTCTGTGCACGTGTGTCTCTTCAGCAGCTCGGACTTCACGTAGGCGAGTCCAGCAGTGTCCGCTGTGGCAAAGACCAAGTCGTCGACGTACACGAGGATGTAGAACGGCGGCAGGGAAGCGTCGGTGCGAAGAAACAGCGACGGGTCAGCAGTAGAAGGAGCAAACCCAAGAGCCGCAAGCGTAGTCCTCAGTGTGTCGTGCCACTCACGCGGTGCCTGGCGGAGACCGTAGACTGGCCGTCGGAGGCTCCACTGGGTGCCAGGAGGGAAAGTCCCAGTGAAGCCAGGCGGACGGCGCAGCCAGATCTCCTCGTGCAGGCTACCCTGCAGGAACGCAGTGCTGAAGTCGAGAGAGTGAAGCTCGTAGTCGCGCTGAGCGGCTATGTGCAGCAGCACCCGAAGAGTGGTCATCTTCGGGGTGGGAGAGAAGGTCTGAAAGTAGTCAACTCCCTGCCGCTGACTGAAGCCACGAGCAACGTACCGTGCCTTGAAGACAGGTGGAGAGCCCGGCGGCCGCTTCACCCTGAAGATCCACATGCCACTGACGATGTTCGCCCAAGGAGGGGGAACTGCGTCAACGTAGGTGCCTGTGGACTTCCAGGAAGCCATCTCTGCATCCATAGCTGCCTGCCACTGAGAGGAGTAGGGACCCTCTACGGCCTCCGCGTAAGAACGCGGAGTCGGGATGTCTAGTGCATCCGGGTCTCCCTCAGGGGCAAGCAGTACAGACGCGAGATGAGGTGAAGCAGCCGCTAGACACTGTAACTCCTCCTGCCTGTCCTCTAGGACGTCCGTGCCAAGAGCACACTCACCCCCGACGGACGGAGGACAGACAGACACAGACTCAGCAACAAGACTAGCAGTGTAGTCAAGACGACAGCGAGTAGCAAAGTCAACGAGCTCAGCGACCAGAGCAGACGCAGCAGTGGACTCAAAAGAGGGGTCAGTGACGACAGTAGCAAGCAGACGCGTGACAGTAGGACTGGCAGCGCGAAGAGAGTCTGACTCAGGGTCGGCAAGCGCAGGAAGAGAGGACTCAGGAGGAGAAGGCAAAGGGGCACGCAGAGGAGCAGTGGACGGACGCAGAGACATCCTGTGCGTGCCAGGGACAGGAGGAGGACGCTGACGCGAACTGCGACCACTAGCGCGAGCAGCACGAACAGGCGACGCGGGACGAGACGCAGGCTCACGACGCTCAGCAAGACCTCCGGTAGGACCAGCGTAAGGAGAGGGAGCAGGCAGTGGAGAGGAAGGCTCCAGTAGGGACTGCGACTGGACAGGCGGTGGACCCTCTACTGGAGGAGAAAGACCAAGAACCTGCTGCAGGAGCGGAACGAAGTACGGCCGAGGCCGCGCGGCAGCTCCAGACTCAACAGGGACAGCACCAGCACCCTCAGCGACAGCACCAGCGCCACCCACACCTCCAGCAGCAGGCTCAGCACGAACGCCCTCAGCAGCTCCAGCTCCAGGAGGACCCGCAGGTCCAGCAGCTCCGGGACCGGCAGCACCCGCACCCTCGACGGTCGAAGAAGCTCCAGCTCCAGCTCCAGCGGCACCTCTAGACTCAGCAGCACGCCTCCAGCGGCGAGCGAACCACTCGCGCAGCTCCGGTGGAGAGAGGGGCTTCCGCCGAGACGCAGCAGCAGGAGAAACCCCAGGCTCAACAGCTCTAGGCGCAGCACCCCCAGGCTCAGCAGCTCCCAGCTCAGTACCCCCAGGCTCAGCAGCTCCCAGCTCAGCACCCCCAGGCTCAGCAGCTCCCGACTTTGCACCCCCAGACTCAGCACCTCCAGTCACAGCACCCCCTGGCTCAGCACCCCCAGGCTCCGCCCCCACCGCAGTAGCACCCCCAGGCCCAGCACCCCCGCGCACAGTACCCCCAGAGTCAGCACCTCCAGGCTCAGCACCCGCAGCAGCACCAGAGTCACCAGTAACCTCGACCGGGTCAACGGCGTCTACCTGGGACACACCTGAGGGGGCAGGAACCTAAGGGGGGAGGGGGTCTACCGGGGGGGGAACCGGCACAAGGAAGTCCGGGGGAGGGGGGAGGGAAGGAGTGCGGTAGGGGAAGAGACGGTAGAAGGGGACTGACTCGTCGAACGTGACGTCCTGGGAGGACAGAACACGACGAGAGGAGGGGTGGTAAAACTGCCACCCTGGGGCGTCAGTGGGGAAGCCAAGGAAGACACAGGGAGCAGCACGGGGGGACAGCTTGTCCGCAGACAAGTCGCGTACAAACGCCCGAGATCCCCAGACACGGAACACAGACGCATCGCCAACCTTCCCCGTCCACAGCAAGGCTGGGGACATCGCAGGCCGAGAGACCCGGGGGTGAAGATTGAGCTGATGCGCCGCGTACCTCACCGCAAACGGCCACAGAAAATGGGGGGCAGCCGCATGCATCATGGACGTACGAGCGACATCCATGACCATGCCAATGCGGCGCTCAGCAATCCCATTTTGCTGTGGTGAGTCCGGAAGCGTGAAGGTCTGGCGGATCCCCCGTGCACGACAGTAGTCTCGCAGAAGGCGAGAAGAGAACTCTCCGCCTCTGTCAGAGTGCAGACGCAGAACAGGAAAGTCCGAGCCGAAGCTCTTCCTAAGCTGGAGACGAGCCTCGCGGATCCAGTCGATCAGCACCTCAGTGACCGCACCCTTGCTGCGCAAGGGGAGGACTGTGGTGTAACGCGAGTAGTCGTCAACCACCAATAGGAAGTAGCGCTCGTAACCCTGCCCACGGACGGGGGCTGGGCCCCACACATCCATGTGAAGCGTCTGCAGGGGAGCCTCTGTCGGGGGGAAGTGGGAGGAGTGAGGGGTAGCCCGGAGGCGACCCTCGACACAGGGGACACAAGAAGGTCCTGGCC